TTGTGGTTGGAATTGGTCTCTTTTCTGGTTGCAATTCACCCCGAACGGTTGGGATTGGTCCTAGTCGGTTGTAATTCGTACCACTTCGACCCCCCCCCCCCCCCCCAAAACCGGACTCCCGGGACCTGGGGCTTTGGGGCCCTCCGAACGGGCCTCGAAGCGGCCACCGGGCCTCGCAAGGCGTTTTGCCGAGCCTTCCCAGCACACTTAGGGCGATCAGGGGGGTCATCGCAGACGTCCCAGAGACCCCCAAGACAGCACAAGAGCGCTCCAAGAGTGACCGACGTGACCTCAAGATGGCCCAAGAGGCCTCCAGGACGGCCCCAAAGAGGCCTCCAAGAGCACTCCCAAGAAGGCCCCCCGAGGCAAAAATCATTGATTTTCTGTTGGTTTGGTGAATTTGGGGGTTCTCCTCTTTTCGGCTTCCCGACGCTCCAAGACGGCAGTCTTTGGGCGTCCGAAGCCGCCTGGGAGGCTCCCAAATCGCTCCACAACCATCCGAAAGGGCTTCCAGGCAGTCCAAGAGAACCCCAAAACGGCACAACACGGGTCCAAGATGGTCCTCAGAGAGCCCCATGGCGGCCCAAGATGGCCCAAAGACGCCCACCGAAGAATTCCAAATCGTGATTCGGTCGTTCAGGGAGACGGCGATCGGAGGCAGGGTGGCCCGAGGAAGCCCCCGGAGGCCCCTAGAATACGCCCAGGAGGCCTCCAGAAGGTCTTAAGAAAGCCCGAAACAACTTTTGTGAGGCCCCTAGAGGCTCTCCAAGGAGGAGCCTCCGCAAAAAAGAGCTGAGGAGGATAGGGAGAATGCGCAGGGTATGGCGAAAATCAGGAACAATAAGCATGGAGGAAGGATAACGAATAACATCATTATAGCGGCGATGCCGGGAAAGGCAGCCAGGAGTTGTCGCTAATCTGTCGGCTTGACCTTCCTGCCATTCCGCCTGCGTACCAAACTTCAAGGACCAAGGTGCATGGCGCGAAGCGCCACTGCAGTCTTGTATATATATATATATATATATATATATATGTATGTGTATATGTGTGTGTATGTATGTATATCCTGGGCCACCCCTGACCCTCGGGGCCGCGGCCGGCCGGCCGCGCCCCCCGAGGCCCGCGCGCGGCCGCCGTGGCTTCGGGCTCGCCGGCTCAAGGCGGCGCGCCGGGAAGCGCCACCCGGGCCGTCGACGCCGTCATTGTCGTCGTGGTCGTCGCTGGCGCCGCCGATGTGGTCGTCGTCGCCGCCGCCGCCGCCGCCGCCGTCGTCGTCGCCGCCGTCGTCGTCGTCGTCGTCGTCGTCGTCGTCGTCGTCGTCGTCGTCGTCGTCGTCGTGGTCGTGGTCGTCGTCGCATCCCGCCCTCCTTGCCGCTGCTTGGCGTAGGTCGTGGTGAGCGCAATGGATGCAGCGTGGCGCCAGTCGAGCTGACAGAATTGTCGCTGCGGGCTGTCGCCGGCGCCGAGGCCGAAGTGTCACTGGGGCCTGCTCTTGCTGGCACGCGCAGTGGGCCTGCGGCCCTACTGTGGTAGGTGAGGTGCTGCGCTGCCCGCTTCCATACACCCCGGTCCTTGGGACAGGGCCGCGAAGGCCGTCCGCACAGTCCGCGGTTCGGGCCTGCGCTCGCACTCCAGGAGGCAGGCCTGAGAGCACTCACAGAGCCAGGGCGGGGGCCACCGCCAGGGCCTCTAGTCCTTGCCGGTGTTCGCCTGCTCGCCCGCGCGTCCAGGTCGCGTGCGCCCTGCCGAGCCGCGCGATGGGGCGGGGGTCGGCGTGCGAGGGCGCGGGCTGGTGAAGGAAGGGCCGCGTGTCTGCAGGCGTGGCCGTGCGGGCGAGCGCTTGCTTTCCGCGGGCCTCGGGCGCCGCTCTCATGGTGAGCACGCGAGGTCGCTGGGAGCACAGGGGCGCGCGCTCGGGTAGGCTTTGTCGGGCCTGTCCCTCTCCAGGAGGAATATTGAAAAAGAGTCGAAGAATAGTCAGTGGACGATTTTGTTTGCTATTTTGTCCATTTGGGGGGTGCTTTTTGAGTATTTTTTTCCCACCAAAATCCCCCTGTAGGGGGACCCGCCCGACCTGAGGGTAGGCTTGTCCGCTCGCTGGCCCAATGGTTGAGCCCCAGCGGGCGATGGTGATGATGATGAGGAGGCGGAGGACCGCGAGGATGATGATAGCAGGGGGCGCCCAGGAGCTGAAGGAGGAGACGGAGGACACAGGAGGACGGTGGAGGAGGATGAGCAGGACCATCACAGGCATTACCAGGATGGTACTGGCGAGAAAGAGGAGCATGGCAATTATTTGATTACACGATTTTTTGGCAATGGATTGGAGGATGAAGGCAATGTTACTGGTGACGCAACATGGGCAAGACGATGATAGCGAGGCACTGCGACCATAGTGGATGACATTGGATCGCTCTGCTTGGTGCCCCGTTTTGAGTCAGACGGGCGGCTCTGGCAGTCTGATACAACGTGATCCGTTTGTCCCTTGTACAGTGGTCGTAACAACTGCATGTAAGGTTCAGGGTCTCCTTCTCTCAAGTGCTCCAAAATGCAGAATTGTTCACGGAGCCAAATGCCTTTTCGAAATCGACTGCGGCAGACCAACCATCAATATTGAACTCCATCGCCATCTCCCGACTGAGCGTGAGCGTCACCAGATGGTCTTCGCAGCTGTACACCTTCCAGAAGCCCGCTTGGTCTTTTGGCGCTCGGACCATAGCGAAGACTCGGCAATATCGTGATACGGGCGATAATTTCCAGGAAGCTGCGGGTCTCATTGTCCGGAGATCACCTTCACGCATCTGCGTCTCTGCGACTCCGGCGGCTCATCTGCATTGTCCAAGATTCACGTGAAACCGTACGCAAGCATTTTTCCAAATGCTGCCCGCCAATTCCAAACATGTTAGCAACAATTCCCTCGTATCCGCTGTCTTACCTCGCTTCAGCCTTTCCACATGTTCTTCAATCTTTGAACTGTAGCTGGCGGTATCACACAGCTGGTGGCCCAGCGTCTCTTTCCATTTCCCTCGACTCACCCTTTCTCTCGTGCCTTGCAAAATTCCTCGGAGAAGTCAGTGAGCACGTCGACGATGTCTTGTCCGTCCAGGCGTAATTTGGCAGACCTGTCCATGACACCCGTAAACCGCAGCTTCCCGAAGTTCTGGTGCATGTCCCGGGTACGCCCAATACAGTGCCGTTTTTAATACATGCTCCGCGTGCGGATCATGTATAACAAATCACGGACTTAGTATTGAAAAACGACGATGAGTTCATGCATACATGTATTCACAAATTAATCAGGTATTAAAAAATCCTATAGTTTAAACATCCCATGTATCAAAAACTGCCCTGTATAAGGATTTGATCAGTCTTATCTGTCTTGCGCTGATGTTCCAGGTCCTTGTGTGCTCGTTGGAACTCTTTGCGAACGACCGTCGTCGGCCTGTGCTCTCCGTTCCCTCTGCGGGCGGCCCTCTGCTTGGCAATTGAACTCAAAGTCTGCGGCGTCGGCCTGTTCAGATCCTTCTTTTGCTTGCCTGGAAGTCTTGAGCTAGCTCGCAGTTGCAGTCGGACTCGACATATTCACACTTGGACAACCCAAACCATGACGATCGTGTCGCAGCGCAGGGGTGTGCTACGACAACGCCACGTGAAGGTGGGCGAAGGACAGGCAGAAGTACTTCCTATCGGAAACGGCACGGCCTACCTTGTTTGGAGATTAGCACGACGCGGATCTCAGAAATCGCGTATCGAAAGGTTCGTTTCAAAGCGGAGCTGTGCAACAAACACCACTGAATGAGATCCACTTTCCGACTATTCGGGCGCTGTCGTGCCCTCTGCTGTTCTGTACGGGAGCGGGTCATGGACACCCACCGAGTAAAGATCAAATAACATCAACGTGGCCATGCGCAGGATGCTCAGGAAGACCGCAGGCGTATCCAAAGCGCCGGCTGAGTTTCACGTCGATGAAATCGTGCGGGCCACACATCCATCTGAACAAGAATATTACAGATTTGGTTCATCCACTTGGCTGCGTGCGCAGGAGCCGCGCAAACGCAGACTTGCGGAGACACTTCAGGAGTGCACAGACCAGCGCTGGGGAACCATTGCGCTGCAGTGGAACCCGATTGGGAGGAGGTCCATAGGGAGCTCCGCGAATCGATGGGCAGACTGAGCATCGATGGTTTCTGTATCATATTGCCTCCAATGCAATACCTTGTTTGGCGCGTGTTAGAGTCATCGAGAAGCTTGATGTTGAGAACCCTTAAGAGAGGGCCCGAGTGCCAAACACATCAAAGGTGTTGGGACTCGCGCGCGCAGCAGCCCGCAGAGGGCGCGCTCCGGCTCGTGCTGCCCCTGACCCTGGCCCTGACCCTGATGATAGCGAATGTCAGTGGGAACGGTGATGACGACGATGGTGTTGATGATGACGGCGATGATGACGATTGACGGGGGTGAGAAGGATGCCTTTGATAGCGACTATGCAGAGGATCATGATGAGGAGGTGGAGGAGAAGTAAGTCGATGAGGACGGGTAGGAGAGAGTTGCCGAGCAGGACGAATGCACAGGGTGGCTAGGCCGTTGGTGACCATACTACCGTTCGTGATGAAGATGATGATAATGATGATAATGATGATGATGATGATGATGATGATGATGATGATGATGATGATGATGATGTTGATGATGATGATGATGATGATGATGATGAGGATGAAGACCTTGCAGCCGGGGAAAGCGAGAGATGCTATGGATGGTGGTGGGGCACCATGGTGATGAAGGTGATGGTAGCCATGACGATGATGGCGAGCAGGAGGAGGAGGAGGAGAAGGAGGAGGAAGAGGAGGGGGAGGAATGGACCATGTCGCTTGTTTCCCGCGTGTCTCGGTCGCCTGCTAGCGAGAGGTGACTGGCGCCCGAGCCAAAGTATTCCGCTTAGGAAGGCCTTCGATATATCTACCTGGGAGGAGGAAGAGGAGGAGAACCATCGTACACCCAAAATGCATAAACGATGTTGCAATAAACCGTCCTGCCGAACTCCCTCTTCACAGGTCCCTCGAAGAATTGGTTCTCACTGCCAGAAGTGCCCCGTTGGAAGACAACCGTCTGAGAATCGTTTGAGAATCCCCACCAGTGCCAAACCACATGTCCTTGTATTTCAACGCCGCGAATCAACTCTAGGGCTGCGTCCTGACGGTCCTGCACCGTGACAGAAGACAACTCCAAGGACTTCAAGAATCGAATTGATTGCTCAACCCTGAGAACCTTATTTTGCGCTAGAACACCATTCGTTGGGTGTCAACCGCAAGAACCCCTAAACAACTGTTGTAGACCTTGCGGGCGAGTGCTCGTGGCGCTAGGGCGAGGACCACATTTGGAACAAGAGTCGCCCTCCATCCGTGAAGCACTTGCGTAGTTTTAGACGAGCGTGAGGCGGTAGCCACCTCAAAAAAGAAGCCGCCTTCCATCCGTGAATCTCTGTTGGAGTTTTAAGACGAGGCTGCGCGGCGCTGAGGCGAGAGCCACATTCCGAAAAGGCTTCGCCTCCCACCCGCGAAGCAGCGGCACACGTTTAAGACGAGTGTGCGTGGCGCTCGAGCGAGACGCACCTTTCGAAACAGAGCCGCCCTCCACGCGTGGAATCCTTGCAACGTTTGACGGATGTGCGCGGCGCTGGGGCGATATCAATATGTTTTTTAGCCGTGAAGTTTTTGTAATATGTTAAGATGTTAGAATGTGTAAACATGTTTTATGTTTTTATAGTTGGGAAGCGGTTTGTTTTATAGTTGTTTATAGTTTTTACTTGCAGTTAGACATCAACATGTTGAAAGCCACCTGCCCTCCAGCCGCTAAGCCCTTGTCACATGTCAAGACGAGTGTGCGCGGCGGTGGGGCGATACCCACAGTTTGAACACGGCCCGCCCTCCGTCAACGAAGCTCCTGCAGTCTTTAAGACGGGCTGCTCGTGGCTGAAGGGCGAGAGCCACGTGCTGACAACGAAGCGCCCTGCATCAGTGAAACTAGTGCAAGCTTTTCCGAAACTGGAGCGTGTACCTTACCAGTGGCGAGCGGTTTTTCAATCCCAGGACTTTTTCGAGGGTCGGGGACAACGCTGGGGTGGTATGCTGTATACTTGTCCCCCGTTTTCCAAGGGAAGCAACGAAACATGTATACACCAGGATCCCGTAAACACCCAGATCCGCGTTCCTGTGCGAATTCCAGCGCAGGGTCGGAAAACAGCGTCGGTGTATAGACTTCGTTTCCCTAGCTTTACGACGCATGTGCGCGGCGGAAAGGCGAGAGCCACATTTTGAAAAAGGATTCGCCCTCCATCCGTGAAGCACTGGGGCACTTTCAGGACGCAAGTGTGCGGCGATAAAGGCGAGAAACACCTTTTGAAAGGGAGCCGCCCTCCACGCGTGAAGCTCATGCAGACTTTGAAGGCGAAAGTGCGCGGCGATCAGGCGAGCACAACATGGTGAACCCCATCTGCCCTCCATCAGCGAAGCTCCTGCAAACTTTTGCGACGTCTTTGCGCGACGGTAAGCCAAGAGCGACGTCGTGAAAACAGCTCGCGCTCCATCACCGAAGCTCTCGAACATGTATGTCTACACATGTGTGCGCGGCGCGGAGGCGAGATTCACATTTTGAAAACTACCTGCCATCCATTCGTGAGGCCCATGCAATTGTTTAAGACGAGTGTGCGCGGCGCTAGGGCGGGAACCACATTTTGAAAAGGAGCCCCCACTCATTCGTGAAATGATGGCAAGCGCTTAAGACGAAGGGGCGCGGCGTTGAAGCGAGAGCCACATTTTGAAAACCATCCGCCCTCCATCCGCGAAGCTGCTGCACATTTCGACCTTCAGGATATTCAGAGGGGAGGGCGTCTCAGGCGAACCGCCTGGCCCGCTTTACCGGCACGTCTCAGGGAGGAGCTGTTTATCAGAAACGTGTATGAAGGATGACGAGGGTCAGGAGGAGGAGGAGGAGGAGTTACAGGAGGAGGATGGAGAGCATCATAAGCAGAAGGACGAGTAGAAGGAGGGCCTCCACTACCACGAGGAGGAGGATGAGCTGCCGCTAGCGAGGCTCCCTCACCCGCGTGGCCGACGAGGGCCTGCTCAAGGAGGGGCGGGTCGGCGTGGCCAGCCTGCGCCAGTCCCTGCCTTTGACTGCATCCCTCGCAATGTTTCGTCGTTGTCGCCCTCGCCATTTCTCGTCGGCCGCGGCGTCGTGGACGTCGTCGTCGGCGTGGTGGTGGTGGTGGTGGTCGTCGTCGTCGTCACGTCGGAGGAGGAGGAGGTCGTCGTCGTCGTCGCAGACAGGGGGGGAAGAGGAGGCCGTCGTCGTCGAAGGAGGAAGATGTCGTCATCGTCATCGGATTCGTCTTCGCCATCGGGGGAGGAAGAGGAGGACGATGAGGATAAGGAGGGATGAGAGACGAATGCTCGGAGGAGGAGGAGGAGGGAGAAGGGAAGTCGGAGGAGGGTTTGGAGAACA